ACAGTATTTCTCTACAATCTTTATGTCTCTTTTATTGGTATTTTAAGAAAAAAAAAAATTTAAGCCTTGGTTGCATGTCTTCCTAGTAATCTTCCCTTGCTTGCCCTCAATTTCCTCCCTGGTGAGTCTGTTTCTATCAGTATTCACTATGTTAGTTAATTGGTCCTCACTGGACACAATAGCCAACAGCCAGCAGTTACAGGAGGTAAGGTTTATTTTGGATCACAATGTCACAGTAGGTTGGCTGCACAGCAGGGCAGCCTGGCAGATGGGCGTGGCACAGGAGGGCAGTTCATGGAATGCCATTCAAGAAGCAGAGAGCTGGGCCAGCGAGATAGCTCAGTGGGCTAAAGTACTTGCTGAGGCAAGTTTAGAAACCGAGGCTCAATCTGCAGCACCACATGCTGGACCAGCCCTGTCCCCAGGGCTGGCTGTGCTAGCCACATAGTTTAGGTGTGGTGGCACATGTCTGTGATCCCAGCGCAAGGTAGGCCGAAAGCAGGAGGATCACCATGAGTCCAAACTGCAGCAAGATCCTGTAATGACCAAATACATTGAAAGAAAGAAGAAAAGGAGGAAGAAGAAGAGGAGGAGGAGGAGGGGAAGAAGGAGGAGGAGAAAAAGGAGGAGGAGGAGGAGGAGAAGGAGGAGAAGGAGGAGGAAGAGGAAATCAAGAAGAAGAAGAGGAGGAGGAGTAGTTGGAGGGAGGGAGGAGGAGAAGGAAGAGGAGGAAGAGAAGAAGAAAGAGGAGGAGGAGGAGGAAGAGGAGAAACCTACCGGCAGTAGGGAAGAGACAGCCAAGATGATGGCCCCAGTGACCCACATCTTTGGATCACATCCCACCTTCCTACAAGAAGTGAGCTACAAGCCCCATGATCCAGTCACCTTTGGAAGCCCCACCTGAGAACACAAGGGTCTAGGGGGACATCTGTTCTATTTACAGGTATGTTGATAAGCATCATAAGGAAACTCCAAAAGCATAATATGGTTTGTCCCACATCCCTTTCATTGTACCTTTCTTCCTCTCTTTATTTATTTTTGCATTTACTCTACGTATTTTGATTAACATGCAATTGTTTTCATTTATTTGGTACAATATGACATTGTAACAAATTTAAACTGCAGCTTGGCTAAATCAAAGACACCAAGTCCTTTACTGAACTTTTAGTTTTATGAGACTTTGAAATTCACTATTTTCTGTATATAAAACATTATTATCCACTACAGTCAGCATGCTGCCCTAGATACAAGATCTGAAAACCTATTATTGTTCTGTGCCTCTGAAACTTTGTATCCTTGTATTAACGATGCCTGAATTCCCTCCCTTCTTCTCCCATCAACCTCTGTTAATCATTCTTCTGTTCTGTTCTGTTCCACTTTAACTTATTCTGTATTTAAGTGAACTCAATGGCCATCTTTCTTCACTTGCCATATTTTATCATAACATTCTCCAGACTCAATCATGTTGTTGCAATGACAAAATTTTACTCTTTTTTAGGGCTGAATACTATTCAATTACATATGTGTACATTGTTCATCTAATGGTGGACACATATGCTGTTTTTACAAATGGACTATTATGAATAACACCGCAAGGAACGTAGAATAATTACCAATTATGTGGCTTTCAATTTCTTTAGATATACATCCAGTTGTAGCATTGCTGGGTTATATGGTAATTCTATTTCTGATTATTTGGGGGAGTCTGAAGTCTGTTCTTCATAATGGACACAGTAATTTACACTCCCACCAAAAATGTGTAGGAGCTCTTCCTTTTTATACCCTCCAATACTCATCCCTTTTTTAAATTTAATTTTGAAGTTGTACATAAAGCCTGCACACATTAATGGGGCAAGAGATTCAGGCATAACTTTTGTAATGATCAAGTCAGATTAAGCATCTCTATCTCTTCAAATGCTTATCATTTCTTTATGGTGAAAGCATTCAAAATCCTTTCCTCTATCTTTTGAAATAAATATATGGTACATAATTATCTAGGACATCCTAGTATATAGTAATGTACTGGAATTTGTATTCTTGCCTAAGTATAAATCATACTGCATCTGATTTATTTAAATTAATTTATTTGGTACAGGCTCTCACTACGCAGCTCAGACTCATAGTGATCCTCCTGCCTCAGCCTCCCCAGTGCTGGGATTTCAGGTATGCACCACCATTCCCAGCTTCCATGGCCAGCCCTGTGTGGGGTCAACACAGCATGTAGTACCAGGGATTGAACCCAAGACCTTGCACTTGCCAGGCAGGTGCTTAGACCACCAACCTATCTTCCCAGCTTGCATCTAATTTCTGAGCAGCCAGCTTGTCCTTCCTATTGATATAATTTGTTCTGGCATTCTTCATTTTTAAAGAAGCTTCATAAATGTGAATTTATTTTTCTGTTTCTTTAATGTAGACATTTAATGTTCTTTGCTCCTGAAAGCTTTTCTTGGTTTTAGAGAGTTGCCCCAGAGTGCCGTGTGTGACCTGCCCCCAAGGCATGCTGAGACAGTGATTGAGACTGGGCGTGGTGGTGCATACCTGTAATCCCAGCACATGGGAGACTGAAAAGAGGAGGATCACTATGAGTCCAAGCTGTTTACTGAGACCCTACAGACCCTGTACTAAATAAATTTAAAAAAAATTCCAATGCTTCATTTTGTTTTGCTCCAGTGTCTGTTCTTCCCGTCTGCCCTCTAAGTGAGTTACCCAGAGTCTATCCCTAGTCCTTTTCTATTCTTCTCTATTCCTTTAGGTAACCATCAAATCTAGTGGCTCCTGTGGTTAGCGCTCTGTAGGTAACTTAAATTAATCTTAAGTCAACTCTAACAAGAGTTCTTGTCCAACATTTCTTAGCTATTTCAGAACATAACTCCTCAAATGTCTAACATTATAGTTCAAGTTCATTAGATCCTGGGTGGAATGCCACTGTGTCCCAACCCAATTCTCTTTCTGTGTCCCTTTTATGCCTTTGATATCCTGATTCTATCCCAATTTCTCTTTCCTGTTTACATTCAGCCAGATCTTAAATTCTCTAGCTTTGCCTCTTAATTATATCCTCCCTATTAGTGTGATCGTCAGCTGCATTCAGCACCTTACCCAGATACTCTGCCTCCACCCTCGTCCTCTGATTCACCTTTCACAGCACTCTCATATTGGTCTACCAAAGACGTCATAATGGTGACACTATGTGGCCACATAAAATTAGCAGAGTGGTGCTTGTCCCAACCTCCAGCACCCTCAATGAGCCAACACTAACACGCTTGTGCATTTATTTGCTACAGCACCTCTCCCAAATGCGCTTACAAAGCCCCTCACTCCTGCCAGCCCAGCAGCAATGGCTTTCTATTTCTATCTGAGTGTGGCTTGCTGTGTTGATAGTGTTTGTGTTGTCATTCGTGTACTTTCAGATCCCCATAAAGACACCGTTACTTCCTGATTATCCTCAGCAGTCTTGTTGCAGATTCCCTTAAACCGTTCTCCTGGAATCTTCCTGCTTCTGTCCTAGCTGATGGTTATTTTTGCATGTGCCACATTTCTAATGGACAGGAACTCTCAAAACAAGCATCAGCACTGCGTTTTGGATTCTTTCTTACTACAATGTCTAGTAGATACACAGCCTCGGCGAAGTGAGTTAAACAGAGCAAAGCATGAATGGATATTTGTTAATTCTGGGAATCAGTCAAAAAATAATAACCATTGCAGAGATATTTAGGGATGTTACTGTCTTTTGGCAGCTGTGTCACTGCTCTGGCTCTAGTGGTCCAACACAGACAGACCTCAGAATTAAGGTTTGCAAATCACATGAGATCCTTCCCTCAGAGGACCTGAGATCAGCATCTCAAACCATCATCCTGAGCCAACCCATCTGGTCCCTCGGTGTCATACCACACTGTTATGGTTTGTGTCTAGTAGTCCCCCCAAAGCCTCATGAAGTCTTGGGACAACTTCTGGAGTTTGTGATTGATTATCATTAGTGTGCATGCTGTACCTGCCCTGGGACAGCTAGTTTGCATTACAGTGTATGGAGGACTGAAAGGCTGGCTAGGTGCTGCCCCTCCCTTTGCTCTCTGTTCTTTGGCGCCACCAGGAAAGGCTGCTCTTCGCCCTGTGTCTCTCTGCCTTGGAGCTGGCCAAGTATGGACTGAAACCTCCAGTAAATGTGAGCTAAATAAACCTTTCCTTCCTTAATTTGAGTATCGGGTATTTACCCCAGCAATGAGAGAAGAGTAACTGAGCCGCACACGGGTGTGCAATGCCTCCTGAAGCTACCATGGGCCCCTTACGTTTCTTGGCATCAGGCACTTGGTTTATTCTGTTAAACTTCTCCATATACACTGCAATGAGAAAACCCATTTTCTTAGAATAAATGCATGTTAACCACATTCTTTAAAAGTCAAAAATCTTAATGCTTATTTGACACATAAGACATCCAAGTAGAGAAAATAGCAACTCCAAATCGAATAAAGAAACAGGGCTCATGAAGCCAACTTTTAATTCCTCTAAATAATGCCCATGTCTAAAACTGATTCTTTCTTCAGAAATGTCCTCCCTAAATGCTTCTATTATACAAATCTCAGGAAAGAGAAAGTGAAGAGAACTAAAACATAATAGTAACAATAATAATAATAATTATTATTATTAATATAAAAATAGTACAATTAGCTAAGATGTGAGCAAAGGTACTCACACTTAATGTTTTAATCACATGTTCCAGTTAATCCTCAAAATCTCCCTGTGAGTTTGCCTTGTCCCACCCCACAGACGTGCGAGCCGCGCTGAAGCCAGCAGGGGCTAGGTACCTTATTAAATACTGCAAAGCTAGTGGGGCAGAGCCAGCCACTTCCTAGAAAAATGTGTGATGAGGATCAAATATAGAACTCCTCTTAAATTGCAAGATTCAAAACAAGTTATCATAGCTCCGTAAATAGATGTCTAATTCCACAAACACATAATTATTACTGATCCGAGTGTACAACGGGGTAGTGGGGTGGGGAACTCACTCTCTGTCGATGACCAGGCAGGTCACGGCTTCCGCAGCAATGACGTTGGCTGTTCTCACGTCTTCCCTACAAGGAGAACAGAGACATTAGGGTGAATCTGTTCATGCGGAAAGCAAGCTTTTATTGAAATCAATTTAGGAAGCACGTTATGTAAGCCCTTCTGATTTATACGCTCCTGGGTGAAAGCTTTACTCATATCACACATTTCTTTATCCCAAGTAACCGCATCACCCTTGTCATTAATCCCGCAGAGCAATAATATAGTTGCTCAAGTTTAAAGTTTCACTTAGAGAAGTGGAGCAAAATTTTATTTCAACATTGCTTGGGCTCCCCAAGCGTGCTTGAATGAACTGGAAATGATGACGTTTGTAATGGGCATGAATGGATGGAAGTTTTTAAAGAATCTGAACATGTATTTCTTGTGTATAAATTTGTCATTGTGTTATTAAAAACATTGGTCTCCTTTAATTAGTTTCTTAACTTAGAGATCCAGATTTTATATAGCTAAACTTTTAGCAATTTGTGGTACACAATTATTCGTCTATATCAGAGTTTATGGTTCCTCAAGAATACATGAAAACTGTCACACTGATTGAAATATATAAAAACTGTCTCTTAAAATGCATTTAATTTTCTTGCAATGTACTTACCAAGTTCTTAGACTTTAAATATTTGTCCTAATATCTTTTTTTCCAATGGTCAAAGGTAGATTTAAGAAATTAACATCCACAATTGATGTTGCATCTACTAAAAATTTAATAGTATCATTTCCACATTAAGTGGTATGTGAAAAAAATCATCCTTTTGCATAATAATACTATATCTAAAGTAAATAATTAATTATAAATATGTTTGGAATACATTGTAAACATAAATGAACATGAGACAATATACTGACGTTTTTTATGTATTTGGTACAGGTTCTCACTACACAGCTCCTATTCATAGTGATCCTCCTGTTTTCAGCCTCCCCAGCACTTGGATTGTAGCATGCACCACCACACCTGGTCTCTGGTGCTACCACAGCATACGCTGCAGAGGATCGAACCCCCATCCCTGAACTTGCCTAAGTAGGCATTTAGTCCATTGAGCTATCCCACCAGCCCAATACAGTCTAAAAATCATAAAACATCATGTGTTTCTAATAACAGGCGTTGAAAGTCCTGAAAATAAGCATGCTCACAGTAAACTTTTATATTTCTCAAACATACTAAACTCTGAAAAGCACTCCTGGATTCGGTATTTTTACACTGATCTCTCTGACTTTCATTGGTGTTACATCATGCTGTCAAGGTTCTAGAGATTTTTTTTACCCCCCGGAACCGGGGATTGAACTCAGGCCCTTGCGCTTGTCAGGGAAGCATTTAGTCTACTGAGCCATCTCCCCAGCCCAGGTTATACAGATTTTATATAAACTAAGATTCAGCATTTGGTAAAGCAAGTTATCTATCTCCAAGACAGTAATTCAGAAAGTTTTTGATACAGCCTTTAAAGTAATGCTTTCTACTTCTAAAGAAACCTATATTGGGATTCTACTGGAGCTGTACTACATTTACTCACTGAGCTCAAGGGGACTTCTTTCTGATGATATTGATTTTCCATGCAAGAACATGACATGCCTTTCCCGCATTCAGATTTAGTGTTTTAAATAATATTCTATCATTATTTTCACTTGGAGCCTGACAATTATTCAGGGTGTTGTATAGCAAATTTCTCTTCCTAGTGGCATTCCTTTTACATTTCTTTCTCTCATTGGTTGAACTATTGGCAAATAAACCTCTCATGAGCAAAAACACCTCAGATTCTCAGTCTCTCCAGATTGAAAATTTCTATTATAATCTCACCAATTCCCAGAATGATCCTCTCAATGCCACCACTGCATTCTCTGCCTTCCAGCCAAACTGGCCTCCCTTCAGTGACAAAACTTCCACGACCTTCCTGCCCTGAGCTCTTCATGACACACTGTGCTCAGTCCGCGGAAGTGCCTCTCCACACACCTGCCTTGTTCTCTCCTGTGTATTCCTCAGATCACAGCCTGGGTCTCCTTCCTCAGAGAGCTCATCCTGGATTAACTAGACCAGAGGCCCTGTGTACCAGGTTCACGACCCTGCATAACTCCACATGAAAAGTGCCTGTCATCATTTGTAATCAATACATTTGTCTGTGTAGTCCCTGGATTATTGAGACTATTTCTCTCCCATTGACCCATACTCAGGCAGGGACTGTGTCTAGTTTTGATCCCCATTTTATCCCCAGATTCCTAATATGTTGGAAGGACATTGCAAGTGTGCCCTGCAAGCTCGGCCCAGGTACCATGTCTGAGTCCTGGAGCGGCTGAGTCGGTCTGAGGCCTTAGTGTCACTCTACCTTGATGTTAAACCCACCTGTGTCACTCATGAGCTGAGTAAGGCTCAATCTCCTCACCAGTACAGTGGGAATGGTATGAGTTCCCATTCCCTGCATGGAATTGACTGAGATAGTCAAAGAGAAGCTTATCATAGCACCAAACACTCAGAAAGAGAAGTCTTTTCTGTCTATTACTTGTAATTCTTTCATGTCCAACATCACCTGTCATGTCTGTCCTCATGGAGGCTTTGCCTGGTATTTCATAAAGAGCTCTCCTACCCAGGAATAAAGGGGGGTTTTCTTTTTGTTCCACAGAAATAGACAGGATCATCTCAAGTTCAGCAGTGCTTTCTGAGTTGAAATTTTTGTTGAAGTGAGCAGAACAGGCAGCAAACATCAGGGATACGCACTGAATCCTTCACAAACTGATGTGAATGGCTTCTTTCTTTCTTTCCTATCTTTTTTTTTTCTTTTCTTTTGTTTTCTATCAGGAATTGAAATCAGGGCTTGGCACTTCTCAGGTGGGCATGGTGCTGCTAACCTCTATGCCTGGCCCCCTGAATGGTTTATTTCTTAGGCTATTGCCTATGGTGGCATAAGTTACCACAAACTACTGATGGCCTTTGAACAAGAACAAAACAAAACATCTCAGCATCACATCTTTATAGAAAACATTAAATTTCACTTTCACTAGATATATCTCCTTTTTGATCATTTAGATATTAACAGAAGCTTTAAAAAATTATGCAAAAAATAATGTTTCAGTTTGAATATGCTTTCCATGTATATAAATTTTTAAAGGATACTTATTAGATTTCGAGTACTTTAAGATTTTAGGATATTTTAATGTCTAAATGGGGTATACTTTTAAAATTCAAGTTCAATTCTGGCTACCCTGCACCCATGGGACCTGTCAGTCCAAACCCAGGCACAGCATGAGTGAGATCCAATTCTGACCAACTGGGACACCCACACCAACCGCACAGCCTCCCATCCCCCATGCCTGTCAAGTGAGTGAGAACATCTGCTGAATTCTTGGGAACCACGGATCCAGCTCTAGCACAGGCAAGGTGAGTATGCTGAAGAGATTCCCCTCTCTCCTTCTCACACTTCTCCCCTTCAGACTCAGCTCAGGCCTGGCATACAGGACTGGGGTGAAACTCTGCAGCTGCAGTCCCTGCAGAGAGAGTAGGGGACAAAACCACTCAGCTACTCCAGGAGCAGAACATCTTGCCAGAGGGGCACAACAAGTTCATTCCCAAGGGTGGCAGCACGAAGGAGCTGAGCACAGCAGCCAGACATAAGCCAGGCACAGCTGGATAAATCCAAACTTTATAGATCTGCACCTGAATTTTGGTTGGTACTAAGGTTATAACTTCACCAAAGCTCTACAGCAAAGGTCAGAAGACAATGCTATACAAAATGACGAGAAGGAGCAATACACAATCTCACACCCCAAGCCCACACATAACAAGTACAAAGAACACTAGCACAGAACAAATTGAGAATCATATAGCTGAAATCAGTGAATCAAGAGGTTCTGAAATAAAGAAACAACTGCAGAAAGGTATAGAGGAACTCAGATTGGAAATAAAAAAACAAATCCCTGAATTAATAGCATCTGCAGTAAAAATCAACTGCAGAAACATATGGAAGAAACCCAATTCCCACCCAGAACAAGTGCAGAGGACTCTAGCTCAGCTGAAATGTATGAATTAATAGTGCCAAAAGTAAATAAGCAACAGCAAAAAAGATATAGAGGAACTCACAGTGGAATTAATTTCTGAAATGAAAAAAAGAATTCTCTGAACTCATAGCACCTAAAGAAAAGAATCAAGTACAGAAACATATGGAGGAAACCCAAGCTGAAAAAAGCACTGCAGTAAAAGAATTTATAACTGCTTCTAAAGAAAACATTGATTAAAAAAATAGAGGAGATTAGAAAAATGACAGATTCCTTGAATGAGCAATACAGGAAAGAAAAAGATTGCATGAAGCAGAGTCAAAGAGATATACAAGAACTTAAAATCTCAATCACAAGCTTGCAAAACTGACTGAGTGAAAGTGAAGACAGACTTTCAGATCTTGAAGACACTGGTGCAGCTAGTGAAAAGGTAAGAAAAGATACTAAAAACAAAGAGGATGCACAAAAAAATAATTCATCACTTGCAAAGATGAACAATGTGAGACTAATAGGTATCAATGAGAAAGAATTAGTCCATACAAATGACATTAAAAATATATATAGGCAGAAGTAATAGCAGAAAACTTCCCAAATAAGAGGAAACAATCTGACATTCAAGCAACTGAAGCACACAGAATGCCAAGTAACCTCTACCCAACTGAAAACACACTGAGATATATAATAGTCAAGGTCCCAGAAATCCAGCACAAGAATAACATACTAAAAGCCACTAGAGAAAACTAGCAGATAACATTCAAAGGAAAACTTAGCAGAATTACGGCCGACTTCTCTTCACAATATTACACACCCCAGCACCTCTCTTCACAAACCATGAAGGCAAGAAGAGCATGGAGCAGAGTACTTCAAGCCCTCTATGAAAACAAATTCCAGCCCAGATTACTATACCCTGCGAAACTCTCTTTCAAGTTTGATGGAGAAGTGACACTTCCATGACAAAGAACAACTAAAGAATTTCATGATGTCAAAGCCAACCCTACAGATGGTCCTGAAAGATGTTCTGGAGTCGGACCAAAAT